TCATCTTCGTCTGCTCCTGGAGAATCCTCTCGGTCATCTGAATCCCAGGTATCTTCTTCTTCCTCATTGTCTGGAAGCGCCTCAATACCATCTTCGGCCACTTCAACTTTCACTTCCTTGGCGTCAAAATCATCCTCTAGTAGCATTTCCAGCACCTCCACCTCATCCAGCGCTTCCGCTTCTGCGACCTATATCATATATCCGAAAAAGAATAAAGATAAGGTACAAACAGCCAAGACCGAGAAGACTCTCAAAGCGCTCGTGAAAAATCCAAAGATCGTCTACACATCCGGTGGTGGAGCCGCAGGACTCAACTTTTGGCGCATGCCACTGACTCCGCAGAATGTCATCGACCTGAAGAAGAATCCAAACATTGACACGGTGGTCGAAGCTGGCTGTGGCAAAGTATGTTTCGATCCCTCAACAGGCTCAATCGAAAAGCAACTGGACGTTGATCCTGAAATGTCGTTTCTGTCTCAACGCCCTGGGACGGAGCTTACCGTAAAAGAATACAACAACACCTATTTCTACAACAAGGCGGCTGCAGAGAATGATATCAGGGTCTACATCATCGACACTGGGGCAAATCTTCAGCATACGGAGTTCACTTCCGGTCAGAATATTGCAAGCAAAGCTCGTTGGATCTTTGCGGGGGAAACCGACACTGATCAAGGGACGCCAGGTGATTATGGGCCGAAATTCCATGGAACATGCATGCTTAGCCGTGTTTCGGGACACTTGTACGGCACATCTAAACGTGTTGCACCTGTCATTGTCAAGGTTGCTAAAAGTTCCGGTCCGGCGGGATACGTTGATGCTGTCGCCAAAGTACTAGAAGATGTTCAGAAGAATGGTGGGGAAAAGACCGTATTGAACATGAGTTGGTAAGCGCAAAGTTGTTCGGGCACCAGTGATATGAAGCTTATTTTCTTGCAGGTTCTGGTCACGAGATTTTCTAATTAACAACGGTCACCATGGTGCTATTCAAGCATTTTACGATAACCTCAAAAAGCTCCAAGATCTAGGAGTCCTTCTCATCACCGGTTCAGGCAACAACAACGCAGTAAGCTATCAAATCCCTCGCCCTTCTAGGCCATCACAACATAGAGCTGACATATATTCAGGCAGTCATAGATGGATACCCTGCCGCGTTCGGCGGAAGCCGCGGTGGCCACCCGGCCCTTCCCGGTCTCCTCGTTGTCGGAGCCATAGATGCAAATAATTTTGATCGATGGGTCAGTAAGGAGAAGCCAGGCAGCGGCTCCAACTACGACAATAAAGCCAAGCTTCCCCATGTTTATGGCGCCGGAGCAGATGGCTCAACGTCATGCGCAGATGGAGCTACACTTGCCAAGAACACTTACAGAAGATCTGCTGGAACATCTGATGGTATGTATCTTATGGTCTCTACGACTCTTCTTTTCTATCCAGCGAAATACTGATTTGATATGATAGCCGCTGCAAGCACCTCTGGTCTCGCTGCTTACCTCCTCGCCCAGGGAAAATCAGGCACAACGCCTGTGCAGATCAAAAAGAAGATCATTGAATTAGCCTGGGTAAGGAAACAAGTCAACGAGATTCCAAAGCCGGGAATGAAGACCATCTACAATGGTATGACTGCCCTGGATGTGAAAGTCAGGTGCCGATTTGGGTCGAATCAAGGACCTTTGGATGCTAGGGCTGAGGGGGATGAGGGTGATTCGTGTGAACTGGAGGATGGTAATGAAGCGGAGACTAGTAGTGTGAGGAGACATGCGCGCGAGTGGTAATTCGCGGTGTTGGAGGCATGGGGAACATTGGTGGTCGCACAGAGGTTGTGTGAAAATAATGGTTTCTTGTAAAACTAGTATGTGGGGGTTGAGGTAGTCCTACTGATCTACGTCACCGTTCCCATGTACCTCCATCCGATTGAGTCAGACGGTACAATCCGAACAGCAGCCATTCGATAGTTTCCCACATGAATGTATGAATTTAAGCGAGCCGAGTTTTTATACCCAAACAACTTATTGTGATAATTGTGATTACCCTGTTGAGCATATTGCGGATAAGAGCCGTTGTTCCGGTATATTACCAGGTTTCACCCCATATACCCAGAAAGACAGAGCATTTTCTTTGAAAGTTATTCACCTTCGCGTAAATCTCCCGATCGGGAAAGGCTTACCCTGCGCCGCGGGGTTGAGTCACTGCTAAACTCCATAAAAAAACTGCCCCTCCAACAATCAATCACTCACGAGAGCAAGCAACAACAAGTCCAATTGCAATCATGGCCGACCAACCGCCTCCCCCAGCCGCTGAAGCCGCCAAGGACCTCCATGAAGATCCCGTCACAGGCGAGAAGATTTCCAAGAGCGAGTGTGAGTGGTCCCAGGTGATGTTGCATGCGGGCCCCGCGACTGACGCCCTGTAGTGAAGAGACGCCAGAAGCAACGCGACTCGGAAAAGCGCAAGGCTGAAAAGGCCGAGAAGAGCACCGCGCTGCCTAGCAGGCCGAAGAAGGAAAAGTCGGCAGAGGAAGCTGAAGGGGACTTGAACCCGAATGTGAGTGTAGTGTTGGCCAGAATGAGCCAGGTTGGCATAGGCTAATTGCTGGGTAGCAATATTTCGAGATTCGGTCGAGAGCCATCAAGAAGCTCAAGGACTCCAAGGCACCGAACCCGTATGTGGATGCTATCTCGAGAATACCAGACATCGCTAACTGAAGAAGGTACCCGCACAAGTTCCAGACCAACTACAAGCTACCAGACTTCATCAAGGAGTTTGAGCACCTCAAGAAGGGCGAGACACTTCCAGAGAAGGAGATTCGCATTGGTATGCGCATCATCACCAAGCGCGCGTCTGGCAATGCACTTCGATTCTACGACGGCAAGGCCGAAGGTGTTACCTGCCAGGTCATGTGCCAGCTACAAGAAGCCACCGGCGACATTCCATTCCTCGACCAGCACGAGCATCTCCGTCGCGGGGACATTATTGGCGTGATTGGATACCCTGGGCGATCAAATCCGAAGAAAGGTGGCGAAGGAGAACTCAGCATCTTCGCGAGGGAGGTCATCCTACTCACCCCATGCTTGCATGTGCTGCCCACTGAGCATTATGGATTCAAGGACCAGGAGGCGCGTCACCGACAACGTTTCCTCGATCTTGTCATGAACAACTCCACCCGCGACACCCTTATCACCCGAACCAAGATCGTCAAGTATGTCCGCAAGTACTTTGACGATCGGGACTTCATGGAAGTGCAGACACCCATGATGAACAAGATCGCCGGTGGTGCTACAGCGCGACCTTTCAAGACTTTCCACAACGACCTCAACATGGAGCTGTTCCTGCGAATAGCTCCCGAGCTGTATCTCAAAGAGTTGGTGGTTGGCGGGCTGGAACGTGTGTACGAAATTGGCCGACAGTTCCGAAACGAGGATATCGATTTGACACACAACCCCGAGTTCACAACATGCGAGTTCTATATGGCGTACGCGGATATGTACGACGTCATGGACATGACTGAGGAGCTCGTCTCAGGTCTCGTCAAGTCGGTCAAGGGCTCATATGTTACCGAATACCACACGCAAAGCGGAGAGAAATACGAGGTCAACTGGGAGAAGCCCTGGAGGAGAGTGGAGATGATCCCGGCGCTCGAGGAGGCAACAGGAGAGAAATTCCCCCCGGCAAATCAACTGCACACGGACGAGACCAACCAGTTCCTCCAAAAGGTGCTCAAGAAGGTCAACGTGGAGTGCACACCTCCATTGACCAACTCGAGGATGATTGACAAGCTAGTGAGTAGTATACTAATAAGACTTGTACGAAGGCGTGTTCTGACAGTTCTTCAGGTTGGTGAATTCATCGAAGAAACCTGCATTAGCCCCACATTCATCATGGGTCACCCCGAGATTATGTCTCCCCTCGCCAAGTACCATCGCAGTATCCCCGGTCTCTGCGAACGCTTCGAAGCCTTCGTCTGCAAGAAGGAGATCTGCAACGCCTACACCGAGTTGAACGATCCCTTCGACCAGCGTCTGCGATTCGAAGAGCAGGCCAACCAGAAAGCGCAAGGTGACCTCGAAGCACAGCTCATCGACGAGACATTCTGCCAGTCGCTTGAGTACGGTCTACCTCCGACTGGTGGCTGGGGTATGGGCATTGATCGATTGGTCATGTTCTTGACGGACAACTACTCGATCAAGGAGGTTCTGGCGTTCCCCTTCATGAAGGATGTCATGGAAGAGAAGAAGTTGGCTGCGGAGGTGGTAGGCATTGAACCAATGCCTGAAGAGGGTATTCGTAAGTGATCTGCTGATTGAGCATGCACATTCATATGGACGGCTGACACAATCTAGCACACAAATAAACACATTCTTCACAAAGGAGCAGTGTCTCATGATGTGACACTTGTGGCTTGATTTGGAGCCACGCTAGGATTCTCAGCATGGCAATAGGGTTTGAAGGGGTAGGGTCGGGCCAATGGGATACGATGTTTTTCAGTCAGACCGAACAAAGTCAAATAAAATTCAGAGCATTGATATACTATTGCAAATGTTTTAAACCCCCTCGATTCCTATCTACTAATGAACCCGCTCTAGCTCATACGCAGCTTGACTGGGGAGATGAGTGTCATATACAGTGCGGAGTTCTAATACTATCTACTTACTCCATTCAATTCCGCGAATATGAGAGCCATAGGTGCCTTTGCGTTCCCTTTCCTCTAAACCGCAAAAAGAAGGGACTCAACACATTCCGAAAGCGGGCCCTTTCCCAAATGTACGTCCCACTCCCTTTCCCTCGTCCTACCACAACGCAAAAACGGCAAAAGAAGGAACTTATCGCGATTCGAACGCGGAACGTACTTCGGTGTATTTAAGCGATTGCTATACCAGCCAGACCACAGAACTAATCCTTTGCATTTCTAATAATACAATAATTCTTGTAGAGATTCAGGTCCAGGTTACACGTCCCGTTGTGTCTTCTTACTTCCTCCCATCACCACGTAAAAATAGCAAAAAAAAGGGTCTTACCGCGATTCGAACGCGGGGCCTCTCGCAAACGTACTTAGGTGTCCCTAAGCGAGAATCATACCACTAGACCATAAGACCGAGGTGCTTCTGCATGTCGAAATGTCATTTTTAATAGTATAACTATGTGTTGGAATCCGTCCTGTTAATCCTCTTTACTATCCTGTAACGTTACACACCTTTAATATTCGCTAAACCGTGCACGGGCTTCTATTTTTAGAAAGTGCCCTGGGCCTCAGTATTGGTTTTTTCTCTTGTGGAAAACCATATTCAAAAACAGGAAGCAGTTTCCCTTCGTAAACTATATCTCGAATCCGACTTTTCGAAACACCAGATACTTGCCACTAGTAGTAACTCGGTGCACATGTTGGCGCTTAGCCACTGCAGGTAAATGCAACGGTACGGAAATGGCTTGTCCTCCGAGCTAACGGCACATGATGTCTAGTTCTGCTATGAGGGTGTCCAGCTCTTCCTTTCTGACTTTAGACAATTGTTGGAAGAAGCACCCTGGAACATATATTATCTCTTCCTACCTCTACCAGTTTCTACTTTGCAGCATCAGAAATGGACTTGTTTCCAGATATTTTTGCTTTAGCTTCTGGGGCTACCGAGCCTCTCTCACTAGCTGATTCCGTACAACCGTATGAGTTGAAGGATATAAAGCAACTAGTACAGCTGTGGCAAAAGTAAGTAGTCTTTGACTACATGCACTTGTAGCAAATCTAACTAAACATTTAGGTTTGTTGTTTTTCTACAATCTGTAGAGAACGGGGTCCAGACAGCACAACATTTTGAAACGAAGCCTGCCATGCATCAGATCAAAACATTTTTGCTCTGGAGGGCTCGAACTGGGATTGGAAGAGTCAGTGATACGCTAAGTATTTTTACGTTGGGGAAAGAGTTCACCCGGCTCATTTGCTTGCTACACCTTTGGAAGGTCTATTTATACCTAAGGAAAGTATACCTGGACGCGAAAAGGGTATGTGGTTGCCTTAAGAAACAATACAATATGGTACTAAAATTCTAGAATGCAGTGGATTGCAGGACTGAAGACCAACGGCGTTTCTACAAAGACTAAACACAAGTCAATAGTATTCTATGGGGATGTAGAGGATATACTCTACTACCTGTGGCAATGTGATGAATACATCTTTGCTTACCCACGAATGAAGATACAGATTACGTTCTTACTCCTTCTATCTGCGTTCTATAGGATTCAGCCTAGAGAGATTATAGAGTCCTCTACCTATTAAGGTGGCAACGAGGGCATTGAGTATAGAGATATTACTTTATCACTTGTATACTACTAAGGAAGTCTCCATTATCAGATCTCGGTGAAACTATGGAATTGGAAATGTAAACGTAATAATAACAGTTAGGTGTAAGTCTTGCAAAGGAGTTGGAAGGCATTTCTAATATGTTATAGGCAATATATTGTCCTGTATGAAGAGACAGATCCTGCCTAAAGGTGAGCCGAAATCGATTTTCACAGACGGTAGTAGCGAGGAGACCAACCAGGCGTTCAGGAATGACCCCTTCCTTGGACCCCAGCTTGCACAGGAGACGTGCGGGCGGTCATCTATCCGCTCTCTTTAGAAGCTCGAATCTGTTGCGAAGCAGAACCAAAGGGAGATAATGCGTCGCCCCTGATCGTGAGACTACGCCTGTGCGAAGAGAGCACGTACTTCTCAATTGGGACGAGCTTAACTGGCAACGTGACGCTCAGATGTCTAGAGCAAATTGATGACGACGATACTGACTGGAAACACCAAATCCAAGCCCGTATCTATCCTGATCCTGACGGCAACGATGCGGAGCTGTTTAATGGATCACCTAGCCTCACGATCTCAGTTATGTGTGGTGAAAGTAAAAGAGTTTACAGTATTCATCCTGGCAAACATTTTCGGTTGAATGCGGGTCGCAGCTGGGCCATCAAGATAACCAAGCTACACACCTTCGGACTGGTTCTTCATCCAGCTCAAGATCTCTACGATGCCCTCATTCCAGAACATGTACTGCGCAACGAAAACAAAATATTCCGACTCCCCAGCGCCCCAAAAGAAATAAGAAACAAGATGAAAGTCGGATGCGCAACCCCAGGAGACGGGGACGGCGAAACCACCAAAGCATCCCGACGAATTGACCTTCCGGCTCTTCCAGAACCATCCTTCGAGGCACCAGTCACCAATGAGACGTTCGAGGTGCAAACTGCGCTTGATGCGGTCTCGCCCTCACCCAGTGGTGACGATCCCGACCCTGTGGTCTTGTTCGAGAATAGCAACACTACCGTGGAAGAAATCAGACGCGGATGCAGGAGGAGGGTGCGAAAAAGGATACGCAGCACTTGTATTCACCAAGCAGCAGTGCAATGGGAGAAGGAGACTCGCACACTAAGCGAATTGTCGCATCTTCACATCATCAAGGCAATCGAGTGGAATCATGCTGACTTGCCGATCGATTTTGCACATGGTGGCAGAGATCTAGCATCTCTGAGAAGTGCGACTGATATGTTCGACGTCGCCATCAATCTCGTCAATGTGCAAGAACGTATCTGGGCCCATGCGACATCAGCTTTGGTATATCTTCACAACGAGAAGATCATCAAACATTGCGACATCAAACCACAAAACATTCTCCTGTCTGACGACCATCGGACAGGCAAGCTCTGCGACTTCGGCGACGCTCGGAATATTAATGAAGTTGTCAAAAGTGGCGGCACACATTTCTATATCGCTCCTGAGTTCCTTCTTAGCGGCGAGACGAGCGCAGCTTCGGACATTTGGGCTTTAGGTATCACCATGCTCTTCGTGCTCAACATCATCCCCTTGCCAGGTACTGAGTCCGGTGCAGAGGTTTGGCAAATTCACAAGCTCAAGGACGACAAAGTGGAACGACGCAAGATGAGAAAGTGGCTTAATACAGTGACCAAGGCAATAAGAAAGATACCTGATAAGTGGTCTCCGTTGGGGGAGATGCTAGATTATGACCCTGGGACTAGGATCACGGCGAAGGAACTAATGCAAAAGTTGAAGAAGACAATGGTGATAGAGAAAATCAAGCAGCGAGCCCTTCTAGAGGCGTAAATGTCGAGAATTATAGCAGATAGGTAGTTGATTAATGATAGACTAGGTACGTTTGAGTACGCTATATTTATTCCGGCATAGGTGGTTTTCCGCCACGCATGGAAGGACGTTAAGTTACGTGACATGATAACGTGCAAATTATAGGTAACTAAGTTACTTTTGACTTAAAGCAACGAGAAGTCTGCACACGTTCAAGACTTTCTCATGTTTTGTTCAAGTTATATAAATTAGATCAGCTGCGGGTTTCCATATCTCGTACTCCATTGTACTTTACCTTACGTAATAGGCGATACGCCCTTGTCCCAACCTAGAAAGCTTTGAAGGCGCGCTGCCAACACATGTTGTGCACCGGTACAACGCACATCAACGACGAGGCCAAACCAAGGCGACCCGACCCGCAAAACGACTGACTCGCCTCAATCCCCACAAAAGGAAAAAGCGGCTCCTCTGTTGCCCAATGTGCCTGCTCTATTAGTCTCGCCTGCATCCCACCGTCCTCGCAGCCTTCCCCCTCCACGCCTCACACGAGGACCTACGCCCTTTTCGCCCCACACAAGCAAAATGATCACGGCCTAGGAGATGATGAAAGAGCACACCCAGCCCCCGTTGCCCCCGTCTATAGACTACCAAAGTCTCGTTTTTCTTGCGGCCGGCGGATCAGGAATTGTTTATGCAATTGATGAGAAAAGAGTTCTGAAAGAATTTTACAATGAGGGAATAGATGTTGAGCGTCGAGCATTCCAACGTCTGGGACTGCATGTAAATATTGTAAAATGTTTCGGTGCAATAGACAAGGGCCTTATCCTTGAACGCGGACAATCCATCCGGACAGTAATTCGAGAAAGCGGAGCGGACCAGATCCCGTTGGATACGAAGATTCGCTGGCTACAGGAAGCTGCAGAGGGAACACGATATATGCACGACAACAACATAATCCATGCTGATATTGGATGTAATAACTGGATCATAGTTCAGGGGCGTCTAAAGATTATCGACTTCGAAGGTTGCAGCATTGATGGAGAAGAAGCAGGAGCCTGTTATGAGTGGTTTAGTTACAAGGAATTGACACCAGCAATAAGCCGAAAGACCGATATCTTCGCTTTCGGTTGCGCGATATACGAAGTCATAACAGGTAGACAGCCACACGACGAACTCCCGGAATCCGACGACCGAAGATTTCGTGTCAAGCAATTGTATGCTGAGAATCTATTTCCGAACGTCGAGAATTTGCCTTTGGGTGATTTGATGCAAGGTTGTTGGCATGGTACTTTTAATTCTATGCACGAAGTTCTTCAAGAACTTTAAACTGCTGACATGGCAGTTACTGGGAAAACAATTCCTAGACCGCGGGATTTGATCGCGGCGTTCTTTGACATCTTGAGATCATGGAGAATATATGGAGCACTGAGAATTATGAAGGCTAGAGACAATACATAGCGGTCAATCCTCAACACTGGAACATATGACAGTGCCAGTCTTTTTGGTACTATTATCCCATATTCCTGGCTTTCAGGCTTTCAGGCTGTTTCACCATGAAGATCATACTATTATATAATTAGACAATTTATTATAAAGAAACATATAGTACAGCTTACATCCTCATAACGCGCGTCTCCAACTGATGTAGCTGAGTCTCGGCAAAACTTGCACGGAGCGTTTCGGGTGGAAGGGAGGTGTGTACCAAGAGTTGGATCGTACGTAGAGTCCTCACATCGTGGTCCAGGCTTTGGAGAATCTTGACACCTCCGATAAAGACGTTTTACAATCTTATGTTGAGATGGCCTTTGACATTTGGTATAAACAATGTCTGCTGTAGTATACCGACACATGTTAAGAGACGTGAGAGCGGGGTGCTACAACCTACGCTGGGAAGCGGGAGCTCAGCTTGAGTATTTGTAGACTAGGTTCGAACAAATGCCCCGCAATTCGTCTATCTCTCTGCTCTATTGCAATTTAGCTCGCTGCTTATCACCCTGGTAGCGTCCATTATCCGGCCAT